TGTGGCAAAAAGATCGATAGAAATAGCTGAGAGACGTGCGAAACAAAGGACCCGCATGGTGTGGTGGTGAACGCGTTAGTCCTCGGAAAGGTCAATAGCGCGTTCGTTCCCCACCGCAGAGATCTGCGGTCTGGACTTTTGCAAATATATTAGCATTATATACGAATTATATTTCGCAACATACCCTACCATTAAAAAAAAAGGCAGTAAATAAAAGCGTTAAGATTGTGATTATAACTATAGCCTCAGCTTAAGTGGGTTAAATGCCGATTTGAGCTTCCCAGATCAATCTCGTTGACGGGTGATTGCTGATGGTAAAAGATCGATAGATCTAGCTGAGAGACAGGCGAAACGAGTGACACGCATGGCGTGGTGGTGAACGCGTTAGTCCTCGGAAAGGTCAATATCGCGTTCGTTCCCCACCGCAGAGATCTGCGGTCTGGAGTTTTGCAAATATCTCAGCATTATAGTAGTTATATCTGGCTAACGTTCGCGATTTCGGCTATTTTTCGAGATTTCGTCACCCTCCTTGCTTGAGTTTGAAGCTCAGGCTGTGTCGTGTCAGGGTTTTCTGCATTTTCTGTATTTACGGACCACTTTTACAGTGTTTTTTCTTTAACTCGTCCGCGGTTACCATAAGATGCTTAAAATTGCGTTTGTGCACTCAAATTGGCGTTTTCGGATTATTCCCGCTCAACTCATCCGTGCTGCCGTAACACGTCAGTGAGTATTGTAGTGTTAGAAAAAGGCCCAGGGATTTGACCATCTTTCTAATTTTCAAGGTTTCGAGAAATTTTCGAAAATTCGCTTTTTTGGTTTTTTGAGGCAGTCGCTCATGCTGCGTCATTACTTCGTCTTTTTCGTTTTGCGTGTTTATGGACGACTTTTACAGCGTTTTTACAGGATAACTCGCCGGCACCACCGTAACTCGTCCGCCTAATATTGTAATGCTTAAGTTTGCGTTTGCGAGGTTTAGTTCGCTTTTACCGGTGAGTTCCGGTCAACCCGGCGATGCCGTCGCGCCCCTGTCCGTTCTCGTCTGCAGCGACGCGACGGTCCAGTATATCTTAGGGGCGCAAATGAGATCTCGACCTTTCTACGATTCTAAGCGTTTTCCCGTGATAAATAAAGATTAGTGAACCCGCTGCTGCTTCTTGCTTCTTGAGTGGTCGGTCATTTTTTCATTCCCGCTTTCGTTTCTGATTCCGCTTTTGACATCGTATCCCAGTCAACTAGTAGGAAGACCGAGCGAAGGATTTGTCGCCGATAACATGCCTCTCTCGGATCCATATCGTGATGGAGTCCTGGATAAGCTTAAGTCAGGACTCCAGGGAGCATCAAGTTACACAAGAAGCAATAGACGACCCTTAGTGTTTCGCGCACTGTGTGCTCCCGTGTATGACGTCAGGCAATGGGGCGACTGGTGAGAGGTCCAAAATCTCGGGATATGCATGACGTTATTGGAACCGGATCTGAGGAACACACACACGACACGCCATAGACATTGTTTCTTACTCTGTACGTATGATTCCAGTACACTCCACAAACGCTGATCTTCACGCTAAATCACGCTGATCTTGTTGTAGCCGCTGATCGCATTAAATTTCATGTGGTTACACTACAAGAAACAAAAATCAAGAATAACCACAGATCCATACAGAAATGGTCCTGCCACGAAATGTCGGCGGCGCAAGCTTGCCCTCCATCCGTCCATTGTCTAGCTCATCGACTCATACGAGATCCTTTCCCCTCGCATAGCCGCCCTACGTCTGAGGCACCATGAGAAGATGAAAATCATCAATTGCTGCTCACCTCACCGATCGATGGAACTGATGAGTACGAATTAGATGTATTCTACTATCACTTAGACGAAGTTTCCATAATGGTAGAAAGCTCATAAAAAGCTCTCGGCGTTGATCATTCCCTGTGGGATGCGCCATGCATTCGACTTTATTAAGTATCGTTGGGGGTGAGTGAACGCACATCTGGCATTTACAATTACCTGCGGTGTCCTATCGATGTGTCGAGCCAGTGTTGTTATCCTCCCAGAGAAGTCTGGTACCAGTTTGCCGACCCCGGAGGGATGGAAGGTTTGGTGGACTATGGGTGTGAGGATCGACTCCACGTGTGTGTCGCCTCCAACTACTGGCCCACATGCGCCCTTTCGCAATGATAAAGCATATAATAAACTTGTTGTTGGAAGCTTCAACGCTAGAATAAGAAAGGCCAACAAGAGCGAATACAGGATCGGAAATTTTGGATTAGGAGAAAGGAATGAGAGTGGGAACTGTCTCGCAAAACTCCTGTCAGCAGCACGTCTCTTCCATGGAAATTCGTTTTTCCAGAAGAAGGAAAGCCACCGCTGGACATGGGAGTCCTCTAACGGCATGAATGATGCGGAGATCGACCACATTCTGACAAGAAGAAAATGGTGCCTACCTGACATATCGCTAGTCCTGTCATTCTGTACTGGTTCGCATCACAGCTTTCTTCGCGCGAAGGTTCGGCTTAGCCGTCAGCTGGGAAAGAGTTCATGTTATCGACCACAAGGAAAAGTCTAGTTGTATACGACGAGTACATTCTGAACGAAGCCGTAACCAAACGTGACTGGCAGATTAAAGAAGACTCAACCGAAAATTACGAGCTGCTTGTCGAAGGACTGAAAAGCTGTGCCGTACTCGCATCAGCTCCTCAAGCAAGAAGATCGGATCGCATCTATTTCCACTATTGATAAGGAGCTGCTCGAAGAGAGAAGGAAACTGAAGGTTGATTCTACTGCAACATGTTTAACACGGCTAATGATAAATACCAGTTGCAGAAGAGCTTTGCAGAAAGATCTACATCGGTACAGGTAGAAGAAACTACTGGAAACAACAGAGGAAAGAAGCGGTCTGAAAAGATGTTGCCGGGACTTTTGCCAGTATAATGTTCCGCTGTCAGCCCTAATAAACGAAGGTGGGATCCTCAGTGTTCACTTTTTGTCTGCTGCCTTTTACTAGTCACGGCAGGGTATCATTTGTGGAACAACCACACTGATGCTGAGATATTTGCAAAATTCCGGACCGTTGGTGCTTGCGTTGGGAAACGAAAGCGCTATTGTCCTTTCCTGTGAGTAATGCGCTCACCACCACACCATGCGGGTCTTTCGTTTCACTTGTCTCTTAGCTAGTTCTATCGATCTTGCACTTTTTTCCTACCGCAAGCACCTGCGGTCTGGAGTTTTGCAAATATCCTAGCATCATTTAAAATGGAAACGTTAGAACATTTTGCCGTTATGTGGAATTGATAACGGAAACGTGCTTCACCAACCTTTTCCGTTCTACAGTAGCCATCCCGGACCATAATATCCTCGAAGAAAAACCACCCGGAATTCCTCCGTCGGAGGTTCGAGTTGAGATAGAAAGTATGAAGATAGGCACCGCTCCAGGACCCGATAATATCATCGTCGATTTCTTTGGAGGTGGAAGCCACAATTTACATGTACTTCTCACAAATTATATGACAGCCTATCTCTAAAAAAAATTCCAATGATAGAATACCATCTTTCTCTAGTTCTAACGTTTCTCGACTACGAAAAGGCGTTTGATAGTGTCGAAACGAATGCAATCCTATCAGCGATCGTCGACCATGGAGCGGACTCGTCATACATAGGAACTATGCCTGACTGCTATCGGAACTGCAATACGCAGATACAGTTTTCCATCGACTTCTTATCATACCCATATTAGGAAGGGGTTCAACAGAGCGACACAATGTCAACAAAGCTCTTTAGTGCCGCACTGCAATGGATAATGAAGTCACTCGTTTGGGTTGAGAAAGGCATACGTATTAATGGAATATTCCTATCAAACCTTTGCTTCACCGATGAGATCGCCATCTTTTCAAGAAGTACCAATGACGCAGAAAAGATGATCAACGAGCTCAACGAAGCGAGAAAAAAGATCGGTCTGCTCATAAATAGGAAGAAGACCTAAAGGATAAAAGGATAAAGCTCTCGGCGTTGATCAATCCCTGAGGAATGCGCCATGCATTCGACTTTATTAAGTATCGTAGGAAGTGATTGAACGCATATCTGGCCTTTACAATGACCTCGAAAATCTATTCCAACCTCGTGTAAGTTCAACAATTTAAACACTTGTTGGAAGAAGAATGTGTTGGAAAACCACTACAAATTAGTTATCAGTTCAAAGTGCTTGCAACGCCCGCTAAAGTAACACATATTTAAGCATTCCGAAGCGATGACTGGTACGTTCTCATACCTCTGACAAATTCAATAACATCATTTGGATCTGCCTGTCCGACGATGAACGCCTTTCGTCGTTGTCCATCGGTTTCATCGTCCACAGCGATCACAACACACTCGCTCACTCCAGCTACATTCAGTTTTATCGCTTCTTCGATTTCATATGGATTTACCTGGGTTGCAACAGTCACATAATTTGCTGTAACGTTGAGTCGTCATGAATGAAACGTAATGAAGAGGAGAACATGCAAATCCAAGGACCGACTTTCTATTAACGTCGGCATTGATCCCAATAATTCACTGTTTTTTTTCAATGATCAAACGCTAGGTAGTTATCACAGCATTTATTAATACAGAATAGCTGATGTTTCGGCGGTTTTCCTCTTTTAAGAGCTTGGAAAGGTCAAATCGACATTCAATCTACTTAGTCGAGCACTTTTATAACCTCAGTAGATAATCTTGATTAGGACAGTTTGCACGAGCTTTACGATCGACTCCTTAACAAAGCTAGGATTGAAATACAAAATAGAAATGAACAACGAGAAGTAGGTGTATTACTATTACTATGTACTCCATTTCATCGAACGTTCTTTTGAGAGCGAGATTCCAACGGCGAATCAACTTTCACATATTTTCGAAAGAATCTATCAAAGTCCTTAACCACTATCAGTATTAGGAGAGAAGGGTAACAAAACTACTAGACTACCACTTAGTGATAGGAGTCCAAAGTTTATAGAAGTTTCCTTGTCCGATAGATGCTGGGATAACGGAAAAACACCTTGAAGACGCTTCTCTTCATCGCTCATCATCTGGAATCCGAAATCGAATAAAATTAAAGGCTTGGCAATGGCACAGCGACTGGAACCAAGCCTTACCATTATCTTTATGTCTAAAGTTGAAGCCCTTGTACCCGGTCTCCGGCCACTGCTCTGCTGGATATACATGGATTATTGTTTTGTCATCCGCTCCACTCAAGAGGAGATGGAAAGATGAATAAGTGCTTTGAGATATTAAACGAGCAACCAGAGAACATAATATTCACCCGAGAAAAACAGAAAGAGGCCAAATAGTAAAAATATAACGAATCGTTACCTCTCCTCTCACAACTCACTCATCAAAATGACGCTTGTAAGAAATATCTTTTGAACAGCCAGCAATCTACGCACAGATAGAGAGCAGAAGAAGGAATCCTTAAAGGTGGCGCGGCCAATAGCCATTTGGAATGGCTACGAAACTGTAGCTCGTTTAGATAGATGTGGAAGAAAAATCAAATCCCTAAATAATAATTCTAGCGAGAATAGCTCCCAGGATCGACTTTCTCTTAACCTCGGCATTGGAATATGAATGTGTCGTTTTCTTGTTCAGCAATCGCGAGGTTTTTAAACAGCATACATTTACTTCCATAAAAAACACAATACAATACAACGCTAGCTGACGTTTCGGCAGTATCGCCTTCTTCAGAGCCTGGAAGGGTATACTGATATACAATTGTACAATACAATATACAATGCAATATACAATACAATATACAATAAAGTAAAAGTAATAGAAATACCACCGGACACTCTAAAACTCTAGTTAGTTTGTAACCGCCTATATGACCGTCTATGCAAAACCACCCAGGCACATTTCTCGCCCATGTCATACTCCGTGCGGCTGCTTTTACTAATTCTGGAAGACTAAGTAGGTTAACTTTTATTTGTTGAGGTTATGAAAGTGTTTGACTGAGTAGATTGCATGTCAACCTTTCCACGCCCTGAAGAAGTCGGAGCCGTGGAAATGTCAGCTCTTGTGTGCTAATAAATGCTCACTATTTGCTCATTGAAAGAAAACAAAAAAATAGAAAATAGTTCGTCTTATAGAAGTGAAGAGAGAAAGCATGAGTCAATGAGAAAGTAATACACAATTGTGGATTATGGATTCGCCAGTGAGATCAGAAGTCGTGGCGCTTTCAGCGTATCTTTGAAAACATAAGAAACAATAGTTGAGACATCTTCAGTCTGAGGTTTTCTCATGGATGCTTCTACGAGTACTCTATAAAGTTTCACTTTTTTGAGAAATATTACAGGAAACATTATAACTGGATATCACGACGCCTAAACGTCCACACGAAAAGGTGGGCAGACTAAGACACAATAAGGTGCACTCTACACCGACGATTTCAGTGGTCGTAATCAGTAGCGAACAAGTGGGGCTGGTTATACATAGAGCGGGTGGAAGATCAGAGGCACGCTCACTTGCCATGTTCGCACTTTTATCATGTCTTTAATTCTTCCAACAATGTAGACGAATCCATTAGGATCGATACGGTATAGACATTATACTTCCATGTGATTTCTGTGCGGTTGGTCTCTACGTGACATACTTAGTGGAAACCTCATAGGAAGCGGCTCTGAGGAAGGCGAAATCCGCCGAAACGTCAGCTTAATCGTGAACAAAGAATAATAACACCTCGCGTTTGCTCAACAAAAATACGAAGAAAATTACTTGATCAATGCCGAGGTTAATAGAAAGTCGGTCGTGGCAGATACGGCATAGATCACCAGTGTCAAACCACTTGTCTATTTGTATAATAAAACATAGGAAAATCGATATTCATGTAAAATAATTTAACTTTTGTTTCCTGCCTGTTTTTTTATGGCAGATTCCTGTTGATGAGTGGTGTTTGATAGCACTCTTAAAGTGAAATCAAAATTGACTGGGTGAAAGGCAATACATGGATCTCGGTTGGTGTGGTGAATTGCACATGGAACCCTGTTAAGAGTGATCACGGATTCAAAGTCTAACTGAGGTTCCAGGTTTCTCTCATATCTGAGGATCCGTTTTACTATTGTAAGATAAACAATAAGTAGGTAGAAACATTGACTTAAACACGTGTTACGCCCGATTGCTTCCCTAGAATTTATTTGCTACACTTTTTGTATTCAAACGATAGCTCATGCAACAGAAAAACTGAACGTGTTGAACGCTGGAAGAAATTTCGGCTTTGAATTTTTCGTGTATAATGCGGGTTGGTTTTGGCTGCATTGAGTCAGAAACGAGTGAAAATGGGAGACAAGTGGTGGCTCCTTTTCTAATCGGAACCTTTCCTAATTCCTTTCCTAATGTAGAATTAATTATGATTGCACGGTGGCCTACTCTTCTTCTCCTAAGTAGCCTTGCATCATTGTCGGTGATTGCAGTAAAAGCTGACCTATTTCATTGGGTCCAAGTTGTTTGCCGTCATCGTTGACTACCTAAATAAGATGCACTTCATTTAAGTCAACGACCGCAACGAACGATTTTCAATAGGATAATTTCCATTAATCATCTTTTAATAGAAGAGATGTAATGTGAAATACAACCATAACGACGATGAGATATTCGCAGAACTGACCCCGAGGCAGAGAGAACCACGACTTTCCTTTCCGAGACCTGGCACATTACACATGACATTACGGAGGCCCTTGCTTTGGCTTTCTCCCAGCTAGTTTTCCACCTAACGCTGCCATTAGCAATCACCCATTATTGTGTTAACGTTATGATTTCGACTATACCCTCAGCTTAACTGGGTTCAATGCCGATTTGTGATCCCCAGATCAATCCCGCTCGCGGGTGATTGCTGATGGAAGCGTTAGATGGAAAGCTAGCTGGGACAAAAACAAAGCAAGGGATTCCGTGGTACAGTGTGTAATGCGCGAGTCTCTGGAAAGGGTGATCGTGGTCCGATTTGGCTCGGAATCCAGGTTTTGCGATTATCTCAACAACGTTATGGTTGTATTTCATATCATACTCTACCGTGAAAACTGTAGTAGGCGGCAAATAAAAAGCTAACGAAGAGGTGTTGTCCAACGATGCACGCAAGGTCTTAATTCCATTGCAGGATCGAACAAGCTTACCGTCCCTCCGAGCTAGGGAGATTTGCACTGAACTCACCAGAAAAGCTGTAGTCGATCCAGAAAGACTATTGACTACCTCTCGTGAAAACGTGAGGAACCCATAGCACAGTTATCCCAAGATTCTAGTGGGATCGATGCAACAATCAAGCAGCCGTAGGGCCGCACCAGCAGGGAAGTTAACACCGTCTTCATTCTTGAAGGAAGGCAGAAAAAGACTTAAATGCGAAAATGCGAAAAGTGCTGGGATCTCACGGTAGATTTGGTGATGAACGCTCTAAAAGTGGTCCGTGCCAAATTGATTTTTACACTCAGCATTTAGCTGAAAAGAATCTCTTTCGGGAACGTATTCCAAGGGTCAAGGAGTATTAAAGAAATATTGGTAAATTGTTATGAGGCAACCACACAAAAGTAGATGTTGGCGCTTGTTTTTAGGATATTATTCTACTTCATAAGATTTTCTTTCTCTTAAAATGACTCTACTTGGAAATGTAAGGAAAAGCCATGTAAACCTACATCTCTCGTTTTCTACTAAATGTTCTTTTGCCTTCTGAACACAGGTTTATGGCGATGAAGACAAACCTTCGATTTAACACCAAGCATAGCTCTTACCACTGAGGAAAGAATTGAGTTTGCAGATGGAGTCACAAAGATTAGCATTTCTGTCTCAGTCATTACAAATACTGAAAAAGGGGCAATTCTATTATGTACACTGATTCAAATGCAATGTACAGTATTACACTGGATAATATCCTGAAGTCCAGGAAAGCGATGTTTCAGGCATCGTAAAAGATTTTCGTCAGATTTGGCCGCTCCGACATATACAGTCCTGAAAGTAAGTAAACATTATGTTCACAGAAAAACAATGCAATCATCTTTAAATAATACGTCATGCCTGAGTGAGCACAAATCAAAAAAAAAATTTAACCAATGGACGTTTCACGAAAAACTCCAAAATAGGCGAGACAATATTAATTGTGGTGATCTGGAACGTATCAAAGATATGCATTCTTTCTTTCATAAGTTTACACTAGGTTGGTAAATAATGTTTATTTTCGGCTAACGTTTCGACGGTTTCATCTTCATCAGAGGCGGTGATCCGGGTCGATGGCCCACAACTACTGGTGTTCTCGAGGTGGCGTCGAGTCAAGTCCTTCTCAGTGGAGAATCTATCGAATGAGGGATACTCATCCGGCGACGCCCTATTGTACAGGAAGGTTGTTGTCGATAGCGGTGATTGCAAAGGTTTGATTAATGGTGAAAGCATAAACTTATTGAAGGAAGAGTACATATTGATGAGTCATAGCGAGGTTAAGGGAAAGTCGGTTTTGAAATATTGTTACGCTTTGAATTAACTGATAATAGTACCCAATCCCACAGTATGGATTGTCCGGAAAAAGTAAGTGGTTACAACCTGAAAATCGCGAATATCGATAACAGCCGTAGTGTATAACAGGGCATCATCGGACGCATATGCCTCATTCGAGAGATGCTCCACTGAGGAGGATCCGACTCCACGACAGCTCGTGAACACGAACAACAGTGGATCATAGACTCGAACCATCGGCTCTGATGAAGACGAAACCGTCGAAATACTAGCCGAAAATAAACATTATTTATCCTCTTATAAGCTTATCAAGGAAAGAATAAGTATTGATTAGTCATAGCGAAGCTAAAGGGAGGTCGGTTTTGGAATAGCACCAAAGGTAGTTTTTTGGGCAAAAAAGTTGTTCTTGATAGTGATTGATTTTTCGTACAGTCGTATGTCGTATAATATCGCAGCACAAGCGTTTATCTCCTAACATTTTTAAAGTCAAAATGCGAAATTTTCACTATTACATTATCTTCCCATTACGGAGAACCTCGGAAAACTTAACATGTAATCATCGTCGCTTTAGTCGGTTAGTCAATAAAACATCTTGTACTGTTGTATTGCTAGAAGGAATCTTTCTTGATTCCATTTTCTGTTGATCACCACTGTGGCGCCTTGAAACAGCATGCAGAAGATAGTAAGCGGGCCTCCTGCATGGAAATAAGGCAGCACTCCGTGAACGCTATCGCCGACGTGAGAGAGCAGGAACGGATAAGTAGCAGAATTGGCATCCATAATCATCCATAATAAAGCTGAAAAAATTCGAAGCTTTAGAGGTAAATGATGAGAATGAAATCTTCGTCTTCAATCAATCCCTTAGGGATCCATTGTGCATTACAACCTCTTCGCAGTATCGTAGAGATGATCAAACGCATATTTTCCTTACACAAAGACTAAAGACTAGAAAGGCTAGCGTAACAATTTTCAAAAACCGAGCGTCATTTAACTTCGACATTAACAATTAGCAAGCTATCGGATTATTAAGCTAAAGTGAGGTGTTGAAGAGGATTTACTGAGGTAGCGTTTCGACGTCGTCTTTGTCAGCCGATGATCCAAGTCGATGGTCGAGAGTTGTTCCTCCTCTCTATATGGTTTCTTCGTCGTCGTATCGAGTTGAAAGTTCTTCAGTAAAGCACCTCAGAAATAAAGAAGCCACACTCGGGATGCCCTTTTATGCACTACGGTTTCGATGGTAGACATTGGTCGTAGATTATTATTTTTTTTAGCGGAAAATCCATCCTACAGCAGTTGGTATCGTTATCAACGGGCTCAAAGCGTAGAACTATTTGAAAAAGCCCCCACTATTTGACCTTAGTTTTAACAATTAATAACTTCTCGATTTAAAGGATAAATAAAGGATAAAGCTGTTGATCAATCTCTGAGGGATGCGCCACGCATTCGACTTCATTAAGCACCGTTTGGAGGTGATTAAATGCATGTCTGGCCTTTACAATGGCTCGCGGTGGCCTAGAACCAGCGCTGATAACCTCCCAGATAAGTCTGGCACAAATTTGCCGACCCCTAAGGAATGGAGGGATTGGTGGGCCATGAGCGCGGAGATCGATTCCACGTGTGTCGCAGTGGCGCCTCCACCACTGCGCTACACGCTCCCTTCCTTCTTTGATGATAAACTAATAAAAAAGAGAAGGACGAAGACGAACGACTTTGGACTCCGGATCATCGGCTCTGAAGAAGGAGAAACCTTCTTAAAGGTACCAAGTTCGCGTTTTTGTTTTCTAATGCAAGTCTGGTGACAATCCAGGAGGAATAGGCAACATGAATAACTTCTCTTATTCTTATCTTATGATGAGTCGTTTTCATGAATAAGAGCATCAAATAATGTAAGACAAAAAATGTTTCCTTGTAAAACGATTTTAACGTTGTCAAAAACTCACATGAGTTGGCAAAGATGTGCCAGTAGGCTTCGATGGCTGTGTCTTACAGGTTTCGGTGGTCCAGTGGTTCCAGAAGAAAAGAAAATGAACGCCTAGAGAGAAGAAAAAGGTCAATGAATAGTTTCATTATTCACTAAACTAAACGCTTTTCCATAATATACACACTTCATGAATTTCTGAATGGTTACTTTTAATCCAGAATGACTAGAACGCATATATGATAAGCATTCCAACAAGCACTAGGCATAGCCTTGTGACCGTGCTTGCAGTATCTCCGATTGCTGGTTGACTTGAGATTTCCGCACCGGCTCGTAATTGTTGTTCGTCGTGCTTTGCTTCTGACAACTCTTCCAGTGATATCATAGAAATGGGGCTGTGTTTGGATTGATGTAGAATACCAGTCATTCTTTTTCAATAATGGCTTTCGGTGAGCACGTACTGCAACATTGCACGTCGTCAAATAATTCTCAATTTCGTCTAAGATAAAATCAAATTATTAAACCGGAAAAAAAAAGACTTGAAATAAATGCTTGACGGAGTGCATTCGGCTTGGAATTGATAGAAAAGCTGCACGCTCTCAGACTCCTTTTAGAAAACTTTCAAATAGAAAAAACTTCAAATTCAAAGGACTTGCAATGTTTCGATGCTGGATTCACTGGCACAACAATACCACCTAAGTCGACAGCGGCCAAATATGTAAGAAGAATGTCGATCGAGTTTCAGCATACGGAAACGATTACAGATCCTTAAAGTTCACTGTTGTTGTATCAAACCGCAAGCAACTATCATGCAGCGGATCTTGCCTTATCTATCCCCTTCAACAAAAGTTGATGACGAATATATCGCACGAGATCGGGTAACGTCGAATACGCTAATGCCTTGCCGATCTCTGAGTCGATTGGTCAGGTTGTGCAGAGTTATGACATCAGTTGCCTTCACCTTCATGCGCAAGAAGAACTGGATAAAAAATCGATTTCAAGCCACAGTATAACCTGTAGATTAGGCAGCGAAAGGAAAAGTGTGCAAGCTTGACCCACTAAGGAGTCTTCTTCTCCGTATCGAATAATGGACTTTAGAAATGCTCTGGTAAACAAAGGATCTCATAACGAGATATCAATAAACAGCACCTCCGAAGCCGTGGACATCGCCGATGAGTTCTGTGTTCCCGCTTCTATAAACACGATTACGATTACGGAACACTGTTACGATTGAAAGTTATAAACAAAATAACACTTTTTGCAAGAGAAGTGTGGGCAAACGTAAGGCTCGGATGCGACACAGTCAATGTGTGCAGCAATCCACTCATCGAGGAGGACCACACTGATTGAAGTTTATTATGCGAGCTAATCGTCACGAAGTCTGAGAAGGCGATGTCTGTTGTACCGACGAAAATTAACCATGTGTTTGATACTTCATGACGTCCTGCTGTATTCTTCCATTTTCATCATCTTCATCCTCTGAGGTCACCAAATTTCTTTTGTTTCTGATTGTTTCTTGTGAAAAACACGTGATCCCGTCCCGTACCTTCGCATCGATTTTTTATGTGAGGTACATTAGATGCAAGTAAAAAACGGTACGCCCTTCGAGAAGCTATTCATCATTCGATTTCCGTACAGATTTTCATTTTTCTGATAAGTGGTGAGGTTAATAGAAAGTTACATCCGAATCTGAATCATCTGAATGAGTTACATCCGTGGCAAAAGGAAAAAGAAGGGGGGTTTCTGCGGGCCGCGGTACAACGTACTGGAATCTGCGACACATTTACAGCTCAAATTTACATAATAAATTCAGGCAAATTTTGAAAAAAACGTCATTAATGCCTGATAAGTCTCAAAGCTTTTGTTCTACTCGCTCATTCTTCGTTAAATCTAATGAATCACGTAAAATATAACAGGAAGAAGAATACCGTTGATGAAAATGGGACCATCTTTGAGTATACGTATAGACCGCCTTTGAGAAAACGGAGACCACCTTTGAGAAAATGATCACCATCTGTAAGAAAACGGATACCCCTCTTGAGACAACTCTAAACAATCTTCGCGCCCTTGTGCGATATATATAGGAAAACGAAAAACGCATAGAAACGACGCATTTTCAGTTTTTGCGCAATGTATAGATCGAATTGCATAATATGCGCATGTGCGCTTCCAATGCTCCCTAAAGCTCTGGCTAGATCTCGGAAAACGCAAAATACAACACCTTGACCATTATACAAAACACCCAATCAGAGAATAGTCTCAACCGATCGCAGTATACAAACACTGTTCTACTGGATACAACACCTTGACCATCATACATGTCGTAGACATGTGATTTTGCGCCTCGACATTGAACCAGTGTTCTGGCTTGCCTTAGCACCCAGCAGGGATTATCCATACCGGCAAAGGCGGTACTAGGGTATAAACTCTCATGTCATATTAACCTGAAAGACCGACTTTCTATAAACCTCGGCATAGTTGATATATTTATTGATGTGATCTTATAAACTGATATCTTCTTAAGCTGACGCGAGATTGGTATAGGTCTTCGCCGTCGTTTTCATTGTTGTTGATGAAGTTGGTCGATGGCTGACGTTTCGGCAACTCCGCCTTCCTCAGAGCCTGGACGTATTTTATGTTAGAATATTTTTTATTACTCGGTGGAAAAGAGGTTAAAGTATTAATGAAGATCAAACTCTTAAATAGACGCCGGATTGAACAGAAAGGCCACTCACCGTGATGTTACGTGTGGGAATGGCCCACACCTAGCTCACGTGGGGTCGCGAGCAAGACACACTCCGGGGTCGAAATATCATTTTGAAATAAGGCGCAACTCACGCGTGATAGTGAGGCATTCGTCTTTCCGGTTTATCATTGGCCGATTTTGAAATTTATCCAAAACGCCTCAAGGGTTTTGCGCGTTGACGTTTTCGATTCCTCCGCTAGGATCCGCACAGTCACCTCAAAATCATCGCCGTTATGCTTTTGTGCCCTATGTTTTGTGCCCATTCTTAAACATCCAAATGAAGCTCTCAGTAAGTGGCTATATAACAAAATGGTACCGCAAGCCAAATAGTAAAAACATTTTAGCTCACTACCTCTCCTCTCAAACTTCACACATGAAAAAGCACTTGTCAAAAATATGTATCGTACGGCTAAAAATGTGTGTACAGGAGAAGAGGAAAGGAAGGAATCGCAAAGCCTGGCACGAAGAATTGCCATTTCCAGTGGTTACGAAGTAGAAGCCACTCGGGCTAGAGAAAAACGGAGGGTAGTTCCCCAAAATAATATTTCGGACGAAAGTAAGATCGCCTTCTACCTTCCATATCAAATTAAGTAAGTTACGCCATTAAGAGGTGTAAGAAAAAGTGGTGTTGAGAATAATGTAACGATTATTGACATCCCACCCAATACCCTACGCCGCCAGATAGTTCGAAACCGTCTCTATGATCGTTTGTGCAGATCAGAAAACTGTATGATCTGTCCTAACGGGAGAGACGGGGATTGCAAGAGTTCAGGTATAATATACTTAATCTCATGCAACGCATGTGGCGAGGAATATATTGGGGAAACGGGTAGACCATTTTGTGTCCGCATAAAAGGACATCTAGATGGGAGCGTTAAAATCCGTCTAAACACTCCTTTATAGTATGGGGCACAAAAGCACAACGGCGATGATTTTGAAGTGACTGTGCGGATCCTAGCGCAGGAATCAAAAACATCAACACGCAGAGCTGTATAACACTTAACCTGACGCCTTATTGCAAAATGTTTTTTTTTTACCTGTGGGTGAGTCTCGCTCGCCGTTCCACGTGAGCAACGCGAGGGCAGCCCACTCATAACAGCACGGTGAGTAGCCTTTCTAATCAGTACGGCATCTATTTAAAAGTTTGATCTTCATTAACACTCTAAATTTTTTTCCACTGAATAATAAAAATATTCTAACACAGAATACGTCCAAGCTGTGAGGAAGACGAAGTCGCGAAACGTCAGCCATCGACCAACAACATCAAAAACAACGACAACGACAACGAAGACCTATACCAACCTCGCGTCAGCTTAAGAAGATTAGTTTATTAAGATCATAAAAATAAATATATCTCATGTCATATGTCATGAGATATGGTTGCCTCCCGACACCAAGAAGCAAAGTTATCGTCACTTTGACTAGGTGGGAATCTGACTTAAAGGCGTTCAGTCACAACCCTCAGACGTTAGCTTCAAACCATTGACCGATTGGCCAAGTCCATGAACCAAATGTCTGAACCTGCTGTTCCTCTCGTACTAAGCAGGGTAACTATCGCAACAATATGTCAACAGTAGGGTAAAACTAACCTGTCTCGTGATGGTCTAAACCCAGCTCACGTTTCCTATTAGTGGGTGAACAATCCAACGCTTGCGAATTCTGCATTGCATTGATAGCACGAGCCGATATCAAAGGATCAAAAAGCAACGTCGCTATGGACGCTTGGCTACCACAAGCTAGTTATCACTGTGGTAACTTTTCTGACACCACTTACCAGAAACTCCCTGGATTAAAAGCATCCATAGGCCACGCTTTCGCGACATACATACATACATACATACATACATACATACATACATACATACATACATACATACATACATACATACATACATACATACATACATACATACATACATACATACATANATTCATTCATTCATTCATTCATTCATTCATTCATTCATTCATTCATTCATTCATTCATTCATTCATTCATTCATTCATTCATTCATTCATTCATTCATTCATTCATTCATATATATACATATACACATAAGAAATGGTCGTCGACGAGATTGTAGTTTGTGAACTCTTTTACGAAATCTTTTACGCGAACGGCGGAAATGTCTGAAGAAGAAACTCACTTATCATGTGATAATGCAATTTCTTTCTTCGCTCCAGTTTCACATTTGTTTTCTTTTTTGTAAAATCGAACGTTACAACCTCACTCTTCTATATCCATTTATAGCGGCTTGTTTAAGATTCTGAGCGTGAGAATGAAATTCTTAGGGTACTGAAGCGATCAATAAGAAAGTTATTTGATGGAATTTGGTAAGAGGAGAGGCCGTTGTTGTCGTAGTAAACAATGAAACAAATCGGCCACTCAAACTGATGGCGTTGCTGTTTAGATGACGAAGATGCCGAGACCTCTCGCTACTTTTATTACATTGGTAGAATTATTGAGTGAACTCTTACACGTCCCCACGATAAAACATTATCTTCGTTCTAGCAAGCGCCTACCCTGTTCGTCTAGAGAGGTGGCAATTAATATTTTTATCAGCTGAAAATTTTCTTATCCGCCTTTCACATGAACTCGACCACTCTACTCGTCTAATACCGCGAGTAGTGTACGATAA